GCCAGCGCGCGGCGTGGCAGAGCGTCCACAGGCTCGAGTGCAAGGCCCTGCAGCGGGTGCCGGCCGAGCGTCGGGGCCAGTTGCCCACGCCTGTGCGTCTGCTCATGCAGGTGCTGCTGGTGGAGGGGATCCGGGACGGCGTGGACTCCCTGGAGGGGCATGTTGCGGCGAGGAGGGCGCGGCCTGGGTGGAGGGATGTGGAGTTGATGGCCATGACTGCGTGCTCGTATGCTGGGAAAGGGGTGGACGAGGTTACGGTGAGGAAGGCTGCTGAGCAGCTGTGCAAGGTATGTTCACTGTCTGGTCATGGTTTTGTCAGGTGAGTTATATTAACAGTCTGAATCCAAACAGATCCAGACAAATGCTTTCAACTGGGCAGACGAGGATTTCACAGAGGCGTGTGTGTTCATCCAGCCTACATTGGCAATGATGAACCACTCGTGTCTGCCTAATGCCATGATCCAGTTTATTGATGGCAGGATAGTCCTCAGGGCTGAATCAAAGCTGGAGGCTGGGGATGAGATTGAGATCTCCTACACGGGTGAGCACGAGAATAGGTTTCCCCTTGTCAGAGTTTGCTTTGATTTAACAAGATAAATTCAGATGTGACGATGCCGTTGCCAAAACGACGTCAAGCTATAGACTCTTACATGTTCCAGTGCCAGTGTCTCCGATGCCGAGATAACTTGAACATCTACCAAGCCTGCTCAACCTCCAGTAATCTAGATCTCAATGGCCTCAGCTTATCACCCGAGGTGTCAAAGGTCTCACAGCTCCCCATCATCACTAACTCAGCCATCTCCAAGCGCGTCACCACCGCCGTAGATGAGCTTTCAGGAATCATCCGGACGGATGAGTTCAGCAACAGGGACATCAAGCTTCTGACGCTCCGTGAGCGATTCCAGGCCTGCCGCGAACTCGTGGTTGTCGGAGCATGGGCAGCAACCCCGGTACCACAACTCCTTGCTGCCATCTCCAACTACTTCGTAAACAAAGAGGACTATACAAGTGCTCTCGCCATTCAAAGTCTGGTAGCGATAGAGTGTACTCCCTATCGATACCCCGCGCCATTCCACCCCAGCCGTGTAAAGGAGCTGGTTCACCTTGCGAGCCTGCTCAGCAACACAGCCCCTCACACCGCCGAACAAATGGCACAATCATCTGCCTCGCAGTTAACGGGAGGAGGTACCATTCCCAAGATCCAAGAAGCTCTCAGGGAGATTGATCAAGTATCGACTTATCAGATGCTGCTCTTGCTTGCGAAACGCCTTGCGCCAGCTGGGTTTGGTGCCAAATTCAAATTATCCCTCCTCGCATCAGAGAGACTAGACGAATTGAAACAACTCCCTGGGCGAGAAAAAGAGCTCTCGCTTATTGAGAGATGGGATGCGGATCCACACAGCGAGTGGTCGAAGGGTTTCTTCCAATTCGCTGTAGTAGATCCGATCCACAGACTTGCATCCCTCGGGGAAGAGCTTGTGAACCAGGAATTCAGTAGATAAAAGTCTTTATACAGCCAAATGAAAATAATAATGATGCATCTTGGAAGCAGCTAATAAGTCTTGCAAATCGTCTCAGTAGTTCAGATCTTGATGCCAGGTAGTTTTATTCCAGGTGCATAGCCTGGAGACTACCGTTTACCGAAACTCAAGAGGCCCCCCTTTTTCGACTTCTTGTTCAAGAGTCCAGAATCTGTATGATCCTGAACGGCCCTGTCTAAGTCAGGTTCCCCAGCTATGGGCGAAGAGGACATCCACAACCCTTTGAAATACGAGGATTCCGCATTGGGATTCGAGTCGGGGTCTGTGCTGTGAGCAGCACGTTTTGGCGTCGTGACCAAGTCAACCTCGTCCTCGTCATCCTCATCTATCAAATCCATCAGGGTGCGTTTGTGACCAGGCTTAGGCTTCGGCTGCTTTGTATCGTGGAGTCGAGGCAATAGAGCGGGGTCCTCGGCAGAAATTGGTGGTTTGCTGCTAGTTTCAACCAGGGGATCTTCATCTGTTAGATCTTCGTCCTGTTTTATTTCAATAGGCTTTGATTTAGGGGCTGAGGGGCGCCTCGGGGGCGCTGCTGGCTTTGAAGCCTTGGCAACTGGAGGTTTAACTGGTGTATCGGTCTGTCCGCCTAATTGTCGTCTCAAGGCGGCAACTTCCAACGCGCATTCTTTGGCAGCGAAGATTCCCTGTCTCGCAAGGTCCCGGGTCTCGATAGCTTCATCCCTTAGGCGAGCATTCTCTTCACGGACCCGTGTCAGCTCTCGTCTCACCGAGGACAAATCGTTCCTAACGCTTGTTGTCTCCGAATCGGAAACAGGGCCGCTTTTGCGATTTGGTTTCGATTTGTACTGATTCAGTTCTGATTTTACAGCGCCAAGTTCATCCTGCTGTCGCTTCCAGTCCTCTTTCATCGCTTGGAGCGAATCTGTAAGCTTCAGGACCTGCCTCTCTAGCTGAGACATTGATCCATGAAACGAGGACACAACATTTGCTCCAGTGTCATTGATGCGTTGAATGTCGTCTCGTTGAGCGTCGACATCAACTTGGAGCTGAACCAGATTCATATCATGCATCATGATTGAAGACAAGCTCCTGGGTTGAGGTTCGGCATATGAGTCTTTAGCTGAAGGCTGAGGAACAAGAGCACTGGAAGTTTCTACGTCTTCTTTCAACTTCAAGACACGTTTGATCCCCGGTTTGATAGTGCCGGCGGCGTCCGGCGTTTCTTTCAAGACCAGTGCCGACGTTCGGAAAATGAATTGGCCACTGCAAGAACAATCGAAAATAGAATCAATAATTAGACGAATCCGTATATTTGAAATTCAGAATCACGAAATGGCATTGCCAACTCACGGGCAGAGGACATGATTTGATGGCGCGAACACAGTCTTCATTCCCAGGATTGAAGCACATATCGCACACTGGGTGCTCTGTAATTCACTGAATCCTATGATTAGTTATTTCGTAATAATACATCGCGGGGGTGATATATCTCACCATCTATCGAGGAGGGTGTCCTTCTCGCCAATACGGATCTTCTGTGATGTCGTCACATCAAAATCGACGTTACTCTCCAACGCTGGTGTCAAGTAGTTTTTGCCGATCTTAATCCAGTGATTGGACACGGAGCCTATCCGGCCATCACAGGAGGTGCAGTAGCAGTAGACTGAATCCATGATGAGACGTTAAGAGGGACTGCAAGCAGACTGGCGAGAAACTCTGTGTTGATATCAATCTTGGACAAGTGATGTGCTCATTCAAATGCCTGCCTCATTACGCGGTTAGCGGCCTCGACGCGTGCTGAGCCGTTGACGTTGGAGCACTGTAAAGTACCAAGTCACTGAGGACCCTAGACCCATAATCCAGCGGTTGCTCCACTCTACCCGCTAAAATATGTCGGCCGATAAGATAACGAACTTCATCTCATCGAAATGCTGCAGTTTTCCAGATGCTGATCTCAACAACAGCCAAGCTACCGAATCCCATTGCGCATTGCTCAGCACAGTCGCACCTAGATTGTGCCAGACTGAGCTTTTCTATACCTACCAGTTCAAAAGTCTACATAGGGCTCATCCATATCCAACCCAGGACTTGATACAGGCTCAGCCACAACTCATCGCGCCCTCTCAGCCATGGGCAAAAAAAAGGCTGCAAGGGAGCCCTTGGAGACAGAGTCCAACAACACCAGCGATGGGAGCCTGAAGCGCGCCAAGACTCACGACGAGGACGACGATGATGGTGGCGAGTGGCAGGTCGTGTCACGGCCCAACAAGAAGGCCAAGAAGCTCCCCAAGCCCGGCAAAAGCTATCCCGCCATCAGCTTCTCCCCAAATGCCCGTCTCAATGCCAAGGTCAACCTCAACAGCCTCCGGGATCTCGTGACATACATCTACGCGGATGGTCCTGCCCCTCAATGGGTGGCTATAAGCCACCGGCCGCACTTCAGAAAGATCGTGACCATCATGGTCCCCGGGTTAGAAGAGGCCATGTTCAAAGCTGGCGTTGACTACGGCAACTATGATGAGCGAGGCGAGGATCAGGGGCCCTCCCAGTCATCTCCCGACAGCTACTACCCTCGGAAGTTGGTGAAAGACGAGATCCCAGATGCGCTGAAACCCTTCGCCGACATGTTCCCTCACCTGTGGCCCATCCGGACACCAGGAGACGACAAGCAGGGCAAGATGCACTCGCCCCTGGCCGCCTTCCTCACAGTCCCAGTGAACAAGGAGAAGAACAAAAAAGGAACCGGCGTGAAGCCCGCTTCCGAGCCGCATGGCTGGAAGAACGAGAGGACGCGAATCACCGAGTTCCTCTCTACGGTAGAAGATCTACAAGATAACGGCTACCTAGTCCACCCCGCAATGCTCCCCGAAGGCCAGCGAGAAAAGTTCGTAGCGCCCGAGGGCTGGGTCGCTACCAAGGTGAGCAGCCTCGAAGAGGGCGACGTCCCCGAGAGCGAAATCCAGCAGGGCAGCATCACAGCCGGCCGGGAGATCCTCGCCATGGACTGCGAGATGTGCATGACGGGCGAGAACGAGTTCTCCCTCACCCGCATCAGCCTCGTCGACTGGTCGGGCGAGACCGTGCTCGACGAGCTCGTCAAGCCCAGCAAGCCCATTACCAACTACGTCACCCAGTTCTCGGGCATCACCGAGGAGATGCTCGCCCCCGTCACGACCACCCTCCAAGACATCCAAGAGAAGCTCCTTGAAATCCTACATCCCCGCACCATCCTCATAGGACACTCCCTAGAGTCCGACACCAAAGCACTCCAGCTCACCCACCCCTTCATCGTCGACACCTCCATCCTCTACCCCCACCCCCGCGGCCCTCCCCTCAAATCCTCCCTGAAATGGCTCGCCCAGAAGTACCTCTCCCGGGAGATCCAAAAGGGCGGTGCAAACGGCCACGACAGCGTGGAAGACGCCAAGACGTGCCTCGACCTCGTCAAGCAGAAATGTGAAAAGGGCAAGCTCTGGGGCTCCTCCGACTCCCAGGGCGAGAACCTCTTCCGCCGCCTGGCCAGGGCTGGCACGGCGTACAAGGCCCAGGGCGGGGAGACCGCCGTCGGCGGTGTCGAGGTCGGCAAGACGAGTGCCGCCGTGGACTGGGGCCAGCCGTCTAAGGGCGCCGGCGCGGGAGCCACGCACCAGCTCGGGTGCAGGACCGACGAGGACGTGACCTCCAACGTCATCCGCGCCGTCAACGGCGACCCGGACGGCCGCGAGATCAGGGGCGGCGGCGTCGACTTCGTCTGGGCGCGCATGCGCGAGCTCGAGGCCCTGCAGGGCTGGTGGAACAAGAACCGCGTCGACAACTCCAACAGTGACGGCGGGCCGCCGGCGGAGGAGGCCGCGTCGGGCACCTCCTCCACCTCGCCCCTGGAGCAGGCTCTCGTCGCGCTCGCCACGCGCCTGGCGACCATCTATGAGGCACTACCCCCTTGCACCGCCTTCATCGTGTACAGCGGCTCGGGAGACCCCCGTGAGATGGCCCGGCTCCAGCAGATGCAGGCGCAGTGGCGCAAGGAGTACAACACCCCCGGGAGCAAGTGGGACCAGCTGAGCGTGAAATGGACCGACGTCGAGGAGCAGGCCTTGAAGAAGGCCGCCCAGAGGGCGAGGGCGGGCATCGGTTTCATTGGCGTCAAATAGTAAGTTTAGATGTATGTATGTTCAAAGCGGAGGGGATGGCCCCCATTCCGGATTTCACGATGTCTTTATGCATAACCTAGATACACTCATGGATACAACGTAGATCAAAGGACGTATGCCCGAGAACCATCCAAAACGATGGAGAAGTTTGATTTCCCAACCTCGAGCCCATCTTACTTGTTTTGTATGTTAGAGTGCCATTCCCTCGCAGCAGCACATTTTGTAGAGTTGAATCCAGGTTGAAGAATTAATATAGTTCACCATTCATTAATTCGTAAGCGTTAAAATGAAGAGGGAAAAAAAAGGAACTAAGTACATGAGCAATGTCCAATCGGACAGTAAACACACATTACCACCTGATACTAACAGATTTCTCGCCAATAATGTTTTGAGATGGATTCATCTCATATTAGATCCCCGTGTTTCCATAAATCTACTTACTATCTTCTGATGCCAGATCCATGCCATCCTCAGAAACCAACCGTCCAGGGAGAAAGAAAAGCATCAACTTTTATGCAGGATGGTACGCCGGCGCTACTATGTTTCAATGATGAATCCCCAACAGAAGAGAAGCCCACGGATGAGCGCGAAAAGGGAAATTAAGGACGACCGAAATAATAACTGGAAAAGGCAAATTGCAGGCCGATCCAAAACAAAAAGAAACTCGTGTTCGAAAAATGAGCCCAACGCCTTGCAATAAACATCGAATGAACCCGATGGCCTTGAATCGTACAACCCAAAGTCTTGGCCTGTGAATAAAAACGTGCATATGCCCGTCTCTCCTCAATCCGCAAAGATAACAGATAAAGGGCTATACTCTCCGCCCCATGATGATGACAATGATAAAAA